TTGTATGATACACACATACACACTAATTTTTTTTCAACAATCATTTCACATCCTCAAAAAGTCCATAACCGCGTTTTACGGTTATGGACCGTAAAACGCGGTCGACACAATTAACTCTTATGTGCATGTTCACCTCCTTAGGTAAATTGCATGTTCACCTCCTTAGGTAAATTGCATGTTCACCTCCTTAGGTAAATTGCATGTTCACCTCCTTAAATGAATTGCATGTTCACTTTCTCGGATGAATTACATGTTCACTTCTTTAGGTGAATTGCATGTTCACTTCCTTAGATGAAATTATAATTGGAATAAGTGGAGGTTCATCATAAACACGTGGGCAAACCGGAATATTGTTTGATGCTCATTGTGGTTGTTGTTGTTGTTGGGCTAGTTAGATTTGGTGTGCAACACAGGCGTGTGTGTGCGTGTGTGTGTATATGTATGTATGTATATGTGTGTTTGTATATGTGTGTGTTTGTATGTGTGTGTGTGTTTGTATGTGTGTGTGTGTGTTTGTATGTGTGTGTGTTTGTATGTGTGTGTTTGTATATGTGTTTGTGTTTGTATGTGTGTGTGTGTGTGTTTGTATGTTTGTGTGTTTGTGTGTGTGTGTGTGTGTGTCGTGAGTTGTTTACATTAGATGTTCACTCTGGCGTGTGTTGAGATGTATGTTTTGTATGTTTTGTTTTATTTTAAGTTGTCAAGTTTATTGTGCATGTTGACCGTAAATTCTAGTGGTTTGATATGTGTGAAAATGTGTGTGTAGGAACGCGTGTGTATACAAGTGTGTGATTGTGTGTGTGTGTGTGTGTGTATTTTTCTCACAGATGTGTGTCGTGATTCACTGTGTTTTTCTTTTTATCCAGTTTAAGTAACATAAAATATAAATGGCCTATATTAGTGTTACATACTCTTAGCATTAAAATTAAAAATCTAACAACAATATTATTATTGAAAATGATGATAATAAAATTTATAAAATAATAAAATTGATGAAAATGATAAAAAAATAAATTGATTGTAATAAAGTCTTGTAGATAAGTTTAATATCGTAGATAACATCTCATGGGCGTATTTTCATTCCATGCATTGACTAGTAACTTGTGGGTGAGGCGTGATTTGGATTAGGACTTTTAAATGAAACTTGGAAGGTGTTCGTGTGTTTATCTGGTTGGGTCTGTATGTGTGTGTGTGTGTGTTTGTCTATGGTCTTTGTTTATGTGTATGTTTGTTTGCTTGTATGTGTTTGTTTGCTTGTATGTGTTTGTTTGTGTGTGTTTGTTTGTATGCTTGTGTGTGTGTTTGTTTGTGTGTTCGTATGTTTGTTGATGTGTGTGCTTACGAGTTGTGTGTGAGTTTTTGTGTTATGTATGTGTGTGTATGTGTGTGTTTGTCAAAATGTTCACGTGTGTTTTTGTGCCTGTGTGTATGTATGTCTGTGTGTGTGTGTTTGTGTGTTAGGTCGAGAGCATTTCTGCATTTCTAATACCACATGCTTGTCGACCTGGGCGGTTGTTGTGTGTGTGAATATATGTAGGAAAGAAATGAACTGGAAAAAATTGATAAATGGAAAAAAAATTACTAAGAAAATTAATGAATGAAAGAATGAAAGAATTATAAGAAAAAATAGAAAAAAATGTAGAGAATGTACAAATACTTGAAATATAAAGGAATAAATTATTAAACAAACAAACAAACGAACGAACGAACGAACGAACAAACGAACGAACGAACGAACGAACTAACAAACAAACGTTAGATAAGCCGGAAAGATAAGTAGATAGATGGCATGATACCAACAAGATGACAGCCTGATTGAATGTATAATGCGGGCCCTGATGGCCTCCATTGTATGTAACTTGCACGTATTCATTGAAATTAACGCGTTTTAAAGATTTTCCGGATAAAAAAGAGTTTAAAGAACACAAATAAGGGCACAAAAAATTTACTAAATAATAAAATCTGGCAAAATTACTTTTAAATAACTAATAAACAATACGAATTAAAAGTTATCTTATAGATAGATAGTACCTTATAATAATACTAAATCAAAGAAAAATAAAATTGAAGAAAGTAATTTAATTATAGAAAGTTAGTTTGATTGATTAAAACATTAAAAGCTTTACTTATGACAAACGCATTTGAAGAAACCACAAAGCAACAATATTTAGAGTATTACCAACATTAAAAAGAAACAGCCAAACCCTTTAAAACCAACAATAAAATAAAAAATTTTAGAAAGAAATTCTGAAAAAACTATTAAAACAAAGTTGAAAATTGAACGATAAAAATTAAAAATCACTTGTAAAGGAAAGGAAGACAGGAAATAATAAATGTAACAGAATTGCCGAGAAAAATATTGACCAGTCACTGACACCCAGCCAGCTCCTAGCAGCAATTAACACTGCCAGCCAGACGTGATTGAATGTCAGGTTTCTTCTTAACACTTTCAAAATTACTACAACCAGACAGCTGAAAAACAGCAGACACATGAACTGGCTGGTGTTAATAGACTATTCAGTTTCATTTTATCTATCTATTCGAGAATGGTATGCGTGCGTGGGTAAGCTTCGGGTTTTTAAGCCTCCTTAGCCAAAAGTATCAAAATTTTTGATTAAATATTTTTGTTTAAATTTAATTTTTTAATCAATCTAGCAAAATCAGCAAAAGTTTTTTTATTAAATTATTACCATTATGATGGATTATTAATATTGGTAATTCTTTTTAAACTAAACTTTCAGAAAGTTGTCCGTGAGATGGGATGGTTCTCAATGCATTCGAACCCGGTTTCCGAGACAGAGTTCTGGTTTGCATGTGAGTGGATGTTTAAAAAAAGGGTAGATTGAATAGGCAGAAGAACCATTAGACTTCTTTAACATTTTTTAGTCAGTTTTGTTGTTGGAATATCGGAACAAAATCATAAAAAAAACAACAAGAAGCAAACAGTGCGCATTTTATTCATTACCGCCACAAGATGCATCTTATGTATAAGAACTACATAAAAATAAACAAATTTCATCAAAAAAATATGTATAGATCAGTAAAAATATGCTACAAAAAAAAGAAAAATAAATAATTTTAATAAAAAAAGGAAATAAATAATGTTGATATTTGTGTTGTAATTTATATAAAGTAACGTTCTATTGATTGATATAAAAGAAGAGTTGTCTACATATACACACAAATAAGTTTGACCTTATTAATGAACTTTAGTGTCATGATTGGCTGATTAGCCCATGCGGTCACTTCACATACTACCAAAGGATATTTTACGCTTATGAGCAGCAAGTTAAGTAGCGTGAGTGACATATGGAAATGAATTGAATGGATTTTTGAAGGGGATTAAGATGACTATGCCCAAGTCCATGCAGGTACCTAGTGTCAACTAACTGTGAATGTGGAATTATGAAATGTTTCGTGTGTTTGTGTGCCTGTGTGTGTGTATTTGTGTGCATGTGTGTGTGTTTGTGTGCGTGCATCTGTGTGTATGTGTACTACGAATGTGTGGATGTGTGTGTATTCATAAGTATGTTTGTGTATGTGTTTCTGGTTGTGTGTGTGTGTGTTTTTTTTAATGAGAGATAAAAGAAGATAGTGCACATACACACACACACAAACAGACATACGCACACACAAATGCACACATGCACATTTACAAATGAATGAACATGTTCATATGCATGACAATGTGCGGCAATGATTGCTTCGCCAGTTGTTTCAATGCAAATAACTTTTAATGGGGGCTCTTTGATTGAAGTATCATTTTGTTCAACGGTCTGTGTGTTTGTGTGCGTGTGTGTGTGTTTGTGTGCGTGTGTGTGTGTTTGTGTGCGTGTGTATGTATGTATGATTGTGTCGCAGTATGTGCGTGTTAGTGTGTTTCATAGTAACAGAGGTAATAATTATTGTGATTATTCAGATAAGACAGTTTATATTTATTTATAGTTATAGTGATAAAAAGATAGCAGTGTTATGTAAATAGATTGCAAAATACATGTCTACATAAAGTCATTTGAGATATTTATAAGAAGTATATGTATTTAATAACATAATATGCTGACCGTTATCAGCATGAAGAAGGGACAGTAATGATGAAATGACAACTGTGATGTTATCACCTGGCATCTGGGTGGGCGCGCGCGTGTACCTGTGTGTGTGCGTGTGTGTAAATGTGTGTGTGAGTGTGAATGTGTGTGTGTGAATGTGTGTGTGTGTGAATGTGAGAGTGCGAATGTGTGGGTGTGTGAATGTTTCAAAAAACCAACTTTCACAACGCAGACGACGACAGATGAATTTGAAGGTAAACGAAAGACAAACATTTCAATTTCAAGGTTTTGAGAATAGGAACCCCAGTTGATCACTTCAATCTTATCACTTGGAATATCCTTCACTGGAGGCAAAAATTACTACCATGAAAAGAGGATTGCCATTGAATGTAAAGACAACAGTTTGATCTTTTTTTGTATGGACATCAAAAGACAAAAAGCAAGCCACAAATCTCTTTCTAAAAGTTAACAAATTCTTCAAACACGAAATTATTAACTTACTAATTCACACATATACAGGCTCACCAGTTCACACGTACTTCTGTGCTTATTCAAAAAAAAAACACACAAACAACATACACTAAAAAAAAACACATACAGATACAAAACAGATACAAAACACACATACACACACACACAACTATATACATATGCAAAAACATCCAAACATATACAGTCACATCTAAGCATACACATACAGACACATACACACACACTCATACAGAATCACACACAGTCTCTTACATACACACACACACAAACTCACACATACACACAAACTCACACATACACACACATAGATTCACACACATACACACACACTCGTGTATGTACTTAAAGGCTTAAGATGTGAGTCAGCATTAAAATGCGACAAAGGATTATCCATTCGGTAATTGCTGGCACATCAAACGATACAAATTAACACACGTGACATACCAGCTGTTTGCTAACGAAATGGCAAAGTGGTACGACCAAAATGTGGTATCACCATTGCCAAAAACACCATAAAAATATTCGAAATGTATTTAAAAATGTTCAGCATTCTTAAAACTATATAGATCATGAATATTTCATCAAGTTTTAAGTCTGGCTTGTATGATACATGATATGGTGTCGTGATGACGATACCAAATTTGCTCCCAACGTAGCCAATAAATTTAAATTTTTAAAATTTTTCGCCAAACTTAAAATGCAATCTTCACAAAACTTCTCAGACGCGATAGATTTCTAAAATTTCACATTGGTTAATCCTACGCGTCCTATGCAACTACTTTTTTGGAGTTTTTATTTAATAAAATTTCGTATCGTATCGTGTGAACTCCTCTATTTGGAGTTTCAAAAGTGCTATGTGTTACTCTTTGCAATTGAGTCGACATTTTAAATGCGTTTAATGATATTCTATGATTGACGCAATACGAACTCTGAACATTTTCATACTTAGAAATTCTATTTGTAAGTTAACGTAACATCAACAAACAGCAACACCAGCGACAACTACACCAGCGACAACCACACCAGCGACAACAACACTACCGACAACCACACCAGCGACAACCACACTACCGACAACCACACTACCGACAACCACACCAGCGACAACCACACTAGCGACAACCACGCCAGCGACAACCACACCAGTGACAACCACACTAGCGACAACCACGCCAGCGACAACTACACCAGCGACAACCGCATCAGTTGGAGAGTATTTGTTTTATATCACTCAACCTTCAATCAGTTGAGTCGCCGCTGCAACTTTTAATACAAGAATAACAACAACTAAACAACACTCCAACTTCAACAACATCTACAACATATCTTGTAACAACAACAACATTAACAGCACCAACAAAAACAATATATCTTGTAAGAAGAAGAGGAAGAAAAACAACAACAACAAGAAGGAGAAGAAGAAGAACAACAACAGGTAACAACAACAAAAACAACATATCTTGCAACAACAACAACAATATATTTTGTAACAACAACAACATCATCTCACAACAAACAAAGTAACATAAACATTGAATCGTTACGTAATTTACGTAACCACCTGAAACCTTTTAGCATGTGTTCACTGTTCTGTTCACCCACTATGGTAACAACAACATGGCTGGCTCAGTCAGCAAACTTAGAACCATGATACCATTATGAAATGAACCAAAGATTCCACAATGATATCTACGGTGATGATGAATGACGATGATGACGATGATGACGATGACGATGACGATGGTGATGATGATGATGATGACTTATAAGCATTTTAATCATTTACAAAGATACAATGGCCAACCTCGGAAATATAAAAAAGTCTCAAAATTTAACCCAGAATGACAGGGCAGGAATTCAGCAAGCAAAATAAAATCAAATAAAAACCCCCGTACTAACCGTACATATTACATTCAGTTCACAACACCACACCATGCAACACCATGCTTGGAAAATATTTCTCGAGTGTGTGTGTCTGTGCGTATGTGTGTGTGTGTGGTGTGTGTGTCTGTGTGTGGTGTGTGTGTGTGTGTGTGTGTGTCTGTGTGTGGTGTGTATGTGTGTGTGTCAATGTGAATGTGTATGTATGTGTGTTTAACCAAAAGTAGTAGCACCACCCCACACCCACGCGCAACAACCAAACTGTGCAATTGAATGATTAACACAAAACAGAACACAACATGCACACATACACACACACACAACACACACACAACACACACACACACAAGCAAGCACGGACGGACATATATAAAAGATTCAGCAGGGTTCTCCTACTAAGTCATCACAATCCAACAACCACAACAAACAGATAAGCACGTTTGTAAACACACACACGCACACACACACACACGCACACACACGCACACACACAAACACCATCATATTTACACACAAACACAAAAATGTAATATTACACACACAAACACAGGCACAAACACACAGAACCATAAAACCACACGCAAACTTATCTACACCCAAATTACGCTCAAAAAACATACAAACAAACACATACACACAAATATTTTCAAACAGATAGACACACACGTGTTTACACTTACACAGATTACATAGCCAAACGTAAATACAAAACATCCAACACACACACGCACACGCATACACAAACACACACGCACACATAAACACACACGCACACGCATACACAAACACACACGAACACGCATACACAAACACATACGAACGCGCATACACAAACAAACACAAACGCACACGCACACGCATACACAAACACACACGCACACGCATGCACAAACATAGGCGCACACTTGATTTAAACAATAAACAAATGAAGATATCGTCAATAATGGCTGGTCGGGTGCGCTATGTTTGTTGTTGGGTTTTGTTGTATTATTTGGTACGTTTGTTTGTTTGTTTGTGTGTGTGTGTGTGTGTAATGTGAATGTGTATGTATGTGTGTTTATGTTTGTGCTTATGTGTTTGCTAGAGTTATTAAGGCTGGTTTGGATTTTTTAGGGATGAGTTCATTGATTTTAGTATTATTGTTTCAACGCGAGGATGACATACCATGCGTAAATACTACAAATTTATATGTAATTGTATGTTTGTATATGTGTGTATTTGTATGTTTGTATATGTGTGTATTTGTATGTTTTTATATGTGTGTATGTATGTTTATGTGTTGCGAAAGTGTTTATGTGTGTATTTGTGTGTATTTGTATGTTTGTATATGTGTGTATGTGTTGCATGAGTGTGTATGTTTGTATATGTGATGTTTTTATATGTGTGTATGTTTGTATATGTGTGTATGTGATGTTTGTATATGTATGTGTATGTTTATTAGTATGTGTATACGTGTGCGCTTAAGCGTGTGTATACATGTTTGCGAATTTGTATGAAAATTCGGATTGTAACCCAAAACAACGACAAACATTGTTTACAACACCAAGCCTTGAGTTGTTGTTGAAAGTTGATTGTCTGGTTGATTGGTTTGGTGTTGATGTTGTTTCGTTGAGTGAGTATTTTATTCGTTCGTTTGTTTGTTTGTTCATTTGTTTGTTCTCTCATTTGTTCGTTCGTTAGTTCGTTCATTCATTCGTTTGTTCACAAATTTTTTCGTTCGTTCGTTCGTTCGTTCATTCATTCATTCATTCAGGGCTGTGGATTATAAATATCCTTAGTAATTGCTACAATTATGTTATTAAATTGTCGTTATTTTTTTTATCATTAATATTCATCAGTACTATCATCATCATCACCACCATCATCATCATCACCTCCATCATCATCATCACCTCCATCATCATCAACACCAGCATCATCATCACTCCCATCACCTCCATCATCATCATCTCTATCATCAACACCATCACCATCATCATCATTAATCTTCCAAATCTTCATAGCATTTGTTTGCTATGATGATTATGACCTTTCAACATCATCATCGTCATCTTCATCACCATCTTTCCATGAAATAAACAGCAAAGGAGAAACATTTCAAATCTCATTCCCCAAAAGTCAGGTCAATTACAAAAATAACTTTGAACTCGCTATGACCTTTCCAAGGGTTTTCAAAAAACTTTTCCAAAGTCATTTTGTTAAATTTCAATGCTGAAGTTTGAACTTTAATCAGTACTAGAATTTTTCGGTGAATAAAAAGAGATGGTTTTAAAAATTTTAAAGTTGATGTAACTTTCATCTTCTCTTTTCAGCTTGGTTCACATTTTTGTGGGAAAAACGTCTTATTTTTCTTTTTTTGAAAAGATGGTTTCTCGATTCGATGTTTGATAATTTTTGTATTATTTTCACGCATTTAAAAACAAGAAAGATATATTTTAAAAATGGATTTATTTCAAAAACAGCAAACTCTTTAACGTTAAAAATTTAAATAAACTGATTATATTGAAATGAGATATTGAAATTAAAAGTTTTAGAATACAATTATTTTATTTAATTAACTTTAAAATGTTTATAAATTGGAAATTGTCTAATACAGATATAAAACACGTTAAAATAAAATTGTTCGATATGCAATGAGATCAATCAACCAATTAAACAATCAATCAACTAACCAATCAACCATCTAACAGACCAACCAACCAACAAAACAGCCAACCAACCAGCCATCCAATCAACAATTGATCAATCAATCAGCAAACTATTCAATCAATAAAACAATCAATTAATTAATCAACCAATCGATCAAACAGCCAACTAGTTGATCACATGAATTTATATAGCGCTAATTTGAAATGCAAGACGACAAATTTAAATTTAACAATTAATTTAAAGTGGAAACAAAACAGAGGTAGATAGCATGTAATTGCTCGCAGATAAATTCAAAACCATAACGAAGAAAAAATCTCACAATAAACATCAACATACATAAGATGAGTTTAAATTTTATTAAAATACATTTTGTGACTTCTTTTAAAAAAAATTAATTCGACAAAATAAATACATTGGATACGATGTATATTGTATAAGCAGAGCACGTAGAATCCATGCAAGTTTGTTGCTAACCCAAAATATTCATCAATAGAAATGCAATCTAACTCTAACAGGCAAAAACCAATCACATTTTGTATGATATATCATCTATCAGGTGTGAGAAGTCTTAGAAGGCTCATTGGAGTTTATGTGTTGACTCGCGCTGATGATGATGATGAAGAAGATGAAGTAGATGATGAAGAAAAAGAAGATGATGATGATGAGAAAGATGGAAAAGATGATGATGATGATGAAGAAGATGATGATGATGAAGATGATAAAGAAGAAGATGATGATGATGAAGAAGATGATGATGATAACAAGGTTGTTGATGATGAGAATGGTTACAATATAGAAATCAGTAATAAATAACTTCTCAAGCAAAGCTGTAAGTACGTTAATTAAAAGTTGAATGTTGACGAGAGGTGTGAAATGGAGATGTCTTGCGGAATTGTAATGTAAATTGGTGTTCGATTTTGTCGTTAATGTTTGTGTGTGTGTGGTGTGTGTGTGTGTGTATGTGTATACATGTATTCCACGATCTGTATATGTATATATTTATGTGTATTTGTGTGTATGTGTGTGTTTTGTGTGTCTACGTGTTTGTGTTTGATTGTTTGTATTAATCATGACACCTATTTGAGTTTATTGTTTTGGTTATGTTGTCTATGTTTTGTTGTTTATGTTTTGTTGTTAACGTTTTGTTGCTTATGCTTTGTTGCAGTTCTAAAATTGTTGATCAGTGTTACCACCATTTTTTTTTATTTTATTCTTATCACCATCAACATCATCATCATCATCAACATTATCTTTACCACCACCACCACTACCATCATCATCATCGGCATCATTATCATCACCATCGTCACCATCACCAAGGTCTCCACATTGATCCATCAATTGATGAGTCAGGACTTTCGAAGATGGATTGGTGGTTGTCTGGTGGTGGTCCGTTGCAGTCTGGCAGTGGAGCTGGTGATGATGACGTTGTTGTCGCTGCTGAAGCTGCTGCTGTTGCTGCTTTTGATGTCGTTTGAGTTGGTGAATACGATAATGATGAAAACGATGTGGAGGAGGAAGAAAATGAAGAGGAAGATGATGATGATGGTGATGGCAGTGATGATGCCGATGTCGTTTGAGCTGGCGAGGATGATAATGATGAAAAAGATGACGATGAGGATGATGAAAATGAGGATGAAGGTGGTGATGATGAGATTGATGGTGACGGCGATGTTGGAAATAACGAAGAAGAAGTTGGTGACATTGGAAATGTAAGTGATGGTGAAGTAACCGTTGTCGGCTTAAACTCATTATTATTATTATTATTGTTATTATTATTATTATTATTATTATTGTTGTTATTATTATTATTATTGTTGTTGTTGTTCTTTTGTTGTTGTTTATGCTGAAGTTTACTTTTAACGTTAGAGTTTATTTTCGTTGGTTTCGTGTTCAACACTTTGTGCGTTGAATCTTTCAGAACTGAGGTCGGTGAATTTGTTGATGTTGTTGTTGTTGTTGCTGGTGACATAGTTTGGTGGCAACATGACCTGTTGTTGTTGTTTGTGTTGATGTAGGAATCATTGTAATTTGATACACAGATTTGTTGTTGTTGTTGCTTGAAATTTGTTGCAAAGAATTCCAACTTTGAATCGTCAACATTCAGCAACCTGCCGGAAGTTGATGACGTAACAAAAGAATATGGCGGGTAGGGTAATTGATAGCTTGGATAGACTGGCTCTTGCTTGATGTACGTTGTTCTTTGGTAGATGTTGTTGTTGATGTTGTTGTTATTGATGTTGATGTTGTTGTTATTGATGTTGTTGAAGTTATTAGGTTTGTTGACTACATTATTAAACACATTAATGTTATTACATACACGGTTTGAATCGAGTTGAGTTTGGTTAGATGCACTGATGTTGCTTGTTGAATTGATGTTGTTGATGACATTGTTGTTGTTGTTGTTAGCAATGTTGTTGTTGTTGTTTTTGTTGTAGTTGATGTCAATTTTTTTCATGACGTCAACAAGGTGGCCGATCAGTTTCGTTTTAATGAGGCTGTCGATACTTGGCAGCATTTTCAAATGTTGCTCAACTTGTTGCAAACATTCGTTGAAGCCGGCTTTGAAATTGCTCAACATGTTGCCGTTGTTGTTGCCGTTGGTATTGTTGTTGTTGATAGTGTTGTTGTTGTTAAGAGGGTTTGTCAAGAAACCTGATAACAAACAAACAGTTAATTGTTTAAAAAAAAGTTAATTGACACAATTTTCAAATTAACCTAAAATATAATTTAAAATTATGAGACCATCGTCCACCCACCAACTCATTCAACAACAATAGCAGCAAGACCAACAACTACAACAACACAATTACAATCACACATGTCATGTCAACTCAACTTATCGAACTCATTAACAAGTCAGTCAGTCGTTTGAGCGAGTCAACAATTCTCCTAACTGACATCACTCGCGAGGAACATTATTGGAACAAATCTATTGTTTCAACTAACAAACAAACAAACCAACAAACACAAATGAACACACACCGAACAAAATCGTTAACTACAAAACATCTGATCGGTCAATTATTAAATGAAATAAATCATCCATTCAATTTGAGATCAAACACAAAACGTTGGAAAGAATCCATATTTTAGTTCATTGGAAAATAATTTTTAAAAACTAGAAATCTAAATTTGAATTGTGCAAAAAAACAGCCAACCAACCAGCCAACCAACCAATCAACCAACCAACCGACCGACCAATCAACCAGTCAACCAACCATTCAGTTGAAGTTGCTTCAGATGTTTCACTGTCGACTCCAGTATATCTGCCTTCTCAAGCTTGTAGTTGCTTGGAAACTGTGGAGTCAATTAGTTGGTTATGTAGTTTATTGATGTTATATTTCATTGATGTCACGTTTTAAAACGAACAAAATATCATCACCGTGTTTTTGGTGTAGTTTTCAAATAAGCTTATCATATCAGTTTTACTGAAATTTCTCGCATCAATAACTTCAATTCTTTTGTTCACCAACACGAGCAACATTGCAATCACCGCCAACTTTCATTTCAACCTCCGAGAAGAGCACCAACCACCGCTGGCCACTTCTTCACAACAAAAATCACTTCATTCCGGTAACACACACACATTCGTCGCAAATTCAACACACAATCATCGAATATTTCGCGATGCTTATAAACCACCCTGTTTGAATTTTAACTTTTCAACCACATAGCAAAACTTATTCAGTTAAATTGACGATAATACTAATGTTCCCTCCAAATAATCCATAAAAACTTGAGAAGAAACAACAAAAGCACAAACATAAACAGCAAAGCTGCAATCAAATCAAATATCGACCGGTCAAGTTCAACACGAGACATGACCCAATTAAACTAATCGAACTGACCCCATTCACCATCGTGTTGGAGTCAACAGAACAGTGACGTCATCACCTACGTCACGCACCATTAGGCACATTCGGTTAATAGGATGTGAACAGTGAGGTGTGGAGGAGTGGTCTGTGTTTATGTGTGTGTGTGTATGTGTATCTCTCTGTGTGTGTGTGTGTTTGCCTCTGAAAACGTTTAAATTTGTGTATGTACTATTTTTACCTTAAACACTTTTACTTACTTGCAATATAATAAATAAATTTAGAGATTTCGAAAGGTGAAGCATGATTTTATAAAGCAGCAAGAAACTTTCTTACATGGCCATGAATTTAATGCGAAGGTTAACGTTTGATGACTCGTGTTTTTCTGTCCGAGTGCGACGATGTTTGCAATTAGGAGTGAACGTTTGCACTTTTGTAGAGTGTGGGTGAATGAATATTTGACGAATGATTACCCAAAGAGAACGTAGAGACTTGAGGCAGGCCCAACCTCATCTTCATCTGCATCTAGGTAGACATTCATAGAACAACGTGCTGATGGAGTCTTAATTCAAATGCACCTCAGAAGATATGCACTCATATGGATGTAAAAAAAAAACTTAAACATTCAAAGAGACGAATTATTTAAAAAAATATAAAAAACTTAAACATTCAAAGAGTTGAATTATATAAAAATATATAAAAAACTTAAACATTCAAAGAGGTGAATTATATAACAAAATATATAAAAAACTTAAACATTTGAACACTTAAACAGGTGAATTATATAAAAAAAATATAAAAAACTTAAACATTCAAAGAGGTGTATTATATAAAAAAAATATAAAAAACTTAAACATTCAAAGAGGTGAATTATATAAAAAAAATATATAAATTATATAACAAAATGGTCTAAAAACATTTTAGAAAATAGCCTCGCATTGTCTACAAAACATAAATGCACGTACAAACATAGCTGTACACACATGCATAAACTCACGTAAATACATCTACACAAACATACAGACAAAACAAAAATGTACACACATAGAGATGTCTACAAAACATAAATGCACGTACACACATAGCTGTACACGTATACACATACTCACATGTACATACACAAACATACAGACACACATAGATGTACGCTGATGCGTATATACAAACATACAGAAGATGAAATATTCAAGTTGTAGTTGTGGATCGTGGCAGAGGCAACAGCAAGGCGAAAGTGATGGTACATGCTGTGTGTGTGTGTGTGTGTGTGTGTGTGTGTGTGTAGCCCTCTGTCAAAAGACCAATGTGTGAATTTTCTTCACGTGTGCGTGTTTATGTGCGTGTGTGTGTGTGCGTGTGTCTGCATTTATTTATATGCCAATGTCAACATATCTTGATATAATTATATCATTGTTGGCGTGTGTTCGAGAATGTTTTAATGAATGCGATGTGTTTTTATTTGTGGGTTTATATTTGTGTGTGTGTTTTGTATTTGTGTGCGTGTGTTGTGTGTGTTTTATTTGTGTATGTGTTTGTAGTATTTGTGCGTGTGTATAGAGAAAGAAAAAATTTTGTTGTTAAACTAATGAGTCTGACATGGTGTTTAGATTTTTTTTATTTTGTTCGGAAATTTTTTTAAATTTTGAGTTTACACAAAATTTTGCACGTAATTTTACATAAAAGTTTATATAAAATTGATTCGTGATGGATAAACAAGTTTCAAACAAACAAGATAAACAAGTGAAATGAAAATGATATGATTTCAAAATTGAAAGTATCTATTTTCTAAACTCAATTTTCAGTTTTAAATCTAATTAAATATTTAAAGTTTTCAGTTTTAAATCTAATTAGATATTTAAAATTTTCAGTTTTAAATCTAATTAGATATTTTTTTTTCTTCAAATTATAATTAAAATTTATGCCACGAAATCAAATCAAATCTCCAATCGTTCGAGTGAATGTCGGCTGGTTGTCAGCAGCTTGGTGAGGTGATGAGCGAATGTGAACGTTATTGTGGGCACGAAGGTGCGAAGTCATTTACATAATGATGATGGTGATTGTGATGTGATGATGATTGTGATGATGATTGTGATGTGATGATGATTGTGATGATGATTGTGATGTGATGGGGATTGTGGTGATGATTGTGATGATGTGATAATGGTTGTGATGTAATGATGTGATGGTTATTGTGATGATAATTATGATGTGAGGGTGATTGTGATGATGGTTATGATGATGATGTGGTGGTTATGACGATGATTGTCACGTGACGTGATGGTGATTTTGATGTGGTGATGATTGTGATGATGATGTGATGATGATCGTGAGGTTACGAGAATGAAATGATTAATGGAATGATTATGACAAAGATGATGAATATTTTAATGATAACAAATAAAATGATGATGATAGTCGTAACAAATTTTTCTAGTTAAGGCTAATGTGATGATATTGAAAATTATGATGATCATAATTTTTGTAGTAATGACGATAATGACTCACACACACACTCACACACACACACACACACAAATAAAACACACACACGCGCGCACGCACGCACACACGCAGATACTTATATACAGCACCTATATTGGCTTGCGCTTGTCAAAAGACATGTGCATTCTATTAATTTTAAATTAAGATATCAACCAGCCAGCCGAAGTGGCTCTGCTGAGATGGATTGAAAAAAATGGATGAATGCAGGTATGGATGGATGGAAAGAATGTATCTAGAATTGAATAGCTAGATGATGTTTGCTTTTTGCGTTCTGTGTTAGTATGTTTATTGCATCTTTTTTGTTTATAAGGTTGGTATTAAAAGTTTGCGTATGTTTGTTTATAGGAATTAGATGGATGACGATATTTCTGTGTAGATATTTTTGCACAAATGGTGTCTGTCTATTGGGTTTATTTTCAATTCTTTTCAATATTTAATCGAAAATTATAATTGTTAATCATGTTTATGTGTTAATGAGCGTGTGTGTGTTTATGTGTGCGCGTGTGTGTGTTTATGTGTGCGTGTGTGTGTGTTTATGTGTGCGCGCGTGTTTATAGGCTGGATGTGTAATGAACATTTAATTGAATGCAAATATCCTGACACATTCAACAGCAGACCATATTTATAGTCAGTCGTCCATCCATCCAGAGATTTTTCCATCCATCTAGCTATAAATACCAATCTTTATATTTGTCCGTGCAAATATCATCGCCATCATCATCGCCACCATTATATGCAACAACTTCATCATCATTCGACTTAACCTTCATCATCATTTTGTCGCCATCATCACCACCATCATCGTTATCATCATCGTCATCAATTAAATGCCACTTAATGAGAACTTTCAACAAGCCCATTATTGAAAACTACACACACACACACACACACACACACATATATATGATTTACCGATAATTATAATCACAGAAGCTGCAGATACGCTGCAGATAATAATAATAATAATAATAATAATAATAATACACACACACATACACACACATACAACACACACGCACGCACACACACACGCACTGTTGCTGGCATAGTTGCCTACGGAATGATGTTTATAATAACAATTATTTTTATCAAACCCAACATCCATATCATATGACATCACACATACACACAAACACACAAAAACACACACGTATACATACATACATACATACATACATACACACACACATACCTACATACATATATACATACATACACGCATACATAAATCAAGAATTATTAACAGTTTTCAAATACCGCACTACATCTATCTATCTTTCTATTTCGTTATTTCACACACACACGGACGCAAACACACACACATCGACACAAACACACACCGACACAAACACACACACACCGACACAAACACACACACACACCGACACAAACACACACACGGACGGACGCAAACACACACACACACGGACGCAAACACACACACACACGGACGCAAACACACACACACACACGGACGCAAACACACACACACACACACACAACCCAAATAACTGAACCGCACCTCAAACACGCCTAAATAAATGCCCAGTGAGAACAGTGTCAATTAAATGCATCTAATGAAGGCAGCAGGTTTCAATTTGTGTGGCACAAGATGAGATTTCAGCGTGGGAGGTCAACTTATTGCAGCAGCATCAGAATCAGCAGCATTCAATCTGTCTGTCGGTCTGTCTGTTTGCCTGCCTGTGTCATTAACTGTGTTTGCCTTTTTTGGGTCTGTATCTATTCCTCTCTCTCTCTCTCTTTTTCTCTCTCTCTCTCTTCCCTCTCTTTCTCTCTGTTGTGTATGTGAAAGATGGTCTTTTTATTTTGAGTTATCTATTTTGTAAGTTACATCTTTAAATTTTATTTTATTTTCACTTGCTTAATTTTTCATCTTAAGATGAACTTTTTCTTTAAACAAAAAAAAAAAATTTGTCAAGTTTGGAGGTAAAATTTGGAAATGACTTAAACATTGAATAGAAACACTGGAGCATCATAAGTACATGCAGCGCTCAGTTACGAACGAGCAAACAAAGGAGTCAAAGATGAAGATGGCCAGATTAATTCCTATCACGGGGTGCAACACTGCATAGTCCATCCATCCATCCACTCCTTAATGTTCAGTAACTGACATGGAGGGCGATGATGATATGTGTATATCTTTGTATGTGTGTGTTTGTTTGTATGTGTGCATGTATATATGTATATATATATATATATATATATATATATATATAAGTATATATATATAGATATGTGTGTGTGTGCGCGCGCGTGTGTGTGTTTTGTTTGTGTATATAAATGTATATCACCCACTGCTTCGAAATAACAATACAATCTTTGTATCTTTTGCCACATACATGATACAAGTATCATCTGTATGTTTATAAACATCGTGACACTATTTACCTAACAACCTAGGCCGACGTCCGGCCTAGTGACCCAGTTTAACCTTTGACCTATTTCTCTGACAGGTGATAGGTTGCCCTCGATTACAGGCTAAATAGGGTTATTGAAAGGTCGTTATGTGCGGACAAGTGACCTGACGC